CCTTGTTTTTTGACCAATAAGCATTAGCTGTTGTTCCCCATGGACGGTGGAGTCCTCCGTATGGCATGGGTCGTAGTGAGGTAATATCCTCCACTTTTCCATCTTTTGTTTAATTGTGGTGCTGATGAGCTGGTCACTAGCATCCTCGCCAACACTTGTAATTTGTGAGAGTGAAACAACTAGTTCACTTATTTCATGATGGGCTGGCAAAGTTGAGAGATTGCAAAATACTTGAATCTATCTTTCTCAGGCTTAAGTAATTTTGTGACTTCTGTTTTCTTTTTTAGCTGGGCTGGGCTTGCTTTTAACAGCTATAGTTTTTTTTTTTTTTTTTTTTTTTAAATTTTTAAAGCCTTGTTTTCCTTCTTCAGGCCTTGCCTTCTCTCTTTACCAACCCACTTTCACCGCTTCATTTTTCTCCTGATTTTCTACCACAAAATCCTTATCATCGCAATCCTTAATTTCTTCCATCCTAACTATAATCCTGCAATTTATGCCCATCACAGATTTATTTAATCCCATATTCGTCTCTTGATTAATAGTCATCTTTTCAGCCAAAAGATGCGTGTTATCACCACCTGGTATTGCATGCCTTGACGTGTCTGCTTCCTCTTCTATTTCTAGATTTTGTGGATCCTCATCAATCATATTTAGAGCCCCTAATATCAACATCGCCACTTGCAGATCCATATAGGAGCATAGATTTCTAGTCTAAAGGCAAATATTAGCTTAGATTTCTTTTGGCTCTCGGTTGGCATTGTTGAAAACCTGAACGACACTGTCAGTCATTGCAGGGACTTCTTGACCACCGGGATCATACGCCAATGTGGCTGCTGTAGGCCAACGTGTGCTATCTGAAGAAACAGGCTTAACCATAGAGTACTTTTTCCAAACAAGTATTTTGTAATAAATTTTGAATTATTTTTATAAGCTACATTGACACATAAAGAAGTTAAGCTTGAAGTAGGTGAGTATGATAGCCTTAGCTACATATGGATGAGTTTATTATTCTATCACATATTTGGGATAATTATGTAAGAAAATTAGAGAGATAGCACGAAAATTATATTAATATTTTTTCTAACTCTTATTAATAATAATAATGGTAATTATAGTAACGGTAAAAGAATGATAATAGAGATAGTTATTACAGCGTCAACAATAGTAATTATAAAAATATAAATTATAACGATAATAATAATAATAATAATAATAGATAGAGTGGAGGAGGTGATGGTAGGTTAACAACAACACCATCACTAATGACGATGATAATGATAGTAGTTGTGATGTTACAATAATAGTGATGGTGACAATTATGATAGTAAATTCTGTAATAATTAGTAGTATTTATAATGATAATAAGAGTAATATTAGTAGTGGTAAAACCAATAGTAGCAATATCAATAAGGTTTAAAAGTAATAACGATAATAGTAACGGTAATAAAACATGGATAATGTCTATTACGTCAACTATAAAATATTAATAATAGAGATAACAATAATGATGACGATAGTTAATAAAGTAATAATAATAAAATTATACATAATTTTTAGAATATCATCTATAATAATATTATTAAAGAAATGTAGAGAATGAAACTAAAATTTTGTTTAAGATGGTTTTTATGATCGTTTATTTGTTGTGGGATAAACTAACTTCAAGAATTTTACTCAAATTTTAACAAAAATTTAAAGAATATTTCTCACTCATTAATTCTTATATTTTTTATTCAATCAATTTACTTACTAGTTTCTTAGTATTCTCTTAAAATAAATAATATACAAGCATAATATAATGCAAGACACAAGATATTTGTAATAAATACATACATTTTTTTTTTGTAAAGATAACTTATTTTTAATTCATAACTTTATTTAAATGTGTAATTAATTATTTTAAAATAAAATTTGTATGTTTTAATTAACTTAAAGACAACTAATTTTTTTAAGCACATATATTTCAGATCAACTTCATGTAGTTTATTTTTAGTAATTTCAATACATGCCGTTTAATTTGTTAATTAGGTAATAAAATATATTTAATTTAAGAATTTAAACAACATAATTTTTTTTAAAAAAAAAAAAAATTAATACGGTGACGACTTATATTAGACTTTTCAAAATTTAAAAAACACCAAAAAGTTGCACCCCATTTTCTGAAAACTTCTCTGATTTGTATTTTCATTTTTATGTTTTCTTTATTTAAGTTAAGCCATTATTTAATTTAATTTTAGTTTTATTTAAAAAAAAAAATTCTAATATAAGTGGTGTACATACCAAATTTTTGAAAATCTATTTTTTTAAAATTCAGATCCTCCATTTATTTAGACTAACAATATTATATTTCACGACTAATAATTAAAATATAATATTAAAATAAAAAATAAATAAATCACATATATTAAATTAGAAAAATTTCAAACCACAATGTACAAAAATATCATTTGTTAATAAGACTATAATCCTAAACTGAAACTAGAAATTCACTTAGTTGTCTTTGGTCCATTTTAGTCCTAATCAATCGATTTTTTTTATTTATACAATTTTTTTATTTGCTGCAAAAGAAGAGAAAAGAAAATCAAGAATTTAAAGACTAATGCTCCATTAAACGTACCTAAGTGATATCATCTATCAAAGTGCAAAAGAATATGAAGTTTAATAAGGGCATGAGTTAATTTTGAACAACCAATGGAAATATGATGGGCCTATTGTGTCAACTGATCGATACATGATGAATATAGGAGAAGTAAACATTTCAATCGAGATTGAGTACATCTCTAACATATTTTTTGATCTGATGAGGTTATAAAATAATTAATAATAAAAATTTGAAAGAAATATTTAATATAGATGAAGTCAATATAAAAAAATTAAAAAAATATTTGATACTCATGTTCGAAACAAGTTAGAAACCGTTTAGAACAATTTTAAATTCAGCTATTAAGGTCTTAACAGTATTTAGATTGCACATAAAATTAGTTATTTAGTAATTATTAATATCTCTAATGAAGCCACCAGTAAAAAAAATAAGTTCAGGATCACCACAGGTATATTCATAATCAGAATCAGTATTAAATTTGAACAGCTTGACAAATGAGTTTTTTATGCTACTCAAGTATACCTAAAGTGATCGATCATAGTTTTGGAGTTATGATTCGCGGCTCAGTAATTAATAATATAACTTTGTTGCTTAAATTACATTATCCCCGTCTTCTTTAAGATTAGTCTAATACAAGACGAGAATTAAAATAAAATTGATATTCTAATTTTAAACTAATTTCATGTCATGACTAATTGTACATGTAACATAATTTAGGTTTAGAAATTAAATAAAAATAAATTATATTGAACTAAAAAATTACAATTTAATTTATATATTTTTTTAAGGTAGTGTCAAATTCTTACTCCCAAAACATTGAAGGTGCTGAAGAGTAACTTAAAAACAATAAAATTATATTATACTTACGTATATTAACACTAAATATAAATACTAACATTATTATGAATTAACTAAAAGTAATGGAAAATATTCGCAATGGACCATTAGACCATTCTCAAATAGGAAAAGATTGTGGGAACTCATTTCCCAGAGATGATGAACTAGTACAAGTAAATTAGAGAAGCTTTTACGACCAGTGGATAGTCATCTTCAGAGAAATTGAACTAAATCACAATAATTTGACAAAGAATTAAGAAAGAACTCTCACAAAGGTTCCATTATGTCATCAAAGACATTAAAAATGAAAAAAATATATATATTTTTATCTAATGAGTAGCATACTTTATCACATCATCAGTGTGGACAGCACTATGCAAAAGATACAAACCGAGAGCTAAGAACTTTGACAAGTCTCCTCATGTTCACTTTTGTACAAATGGAGGCCACTCCTCCCTCAGTGAATTCCTATACATGGCCAGGATTCTCTTGGCAACGCCAGCTCCTATGGCTCTCTTGTCAAGTCAGGTAAACTGGAAAAAGATCCTACTGTCACAATTTCTATGCCAAACAACCAATTTCTAAGCTTGCCAAGAATATCCTTTTACGATGTTGTGGTTGCAGGTGATAATTTCAAACCTCACTGCCAATTTTGAAATCTGCAAAAGAGGTAGGTTCTCGAGGTTCAACTGCTGAAGTATGCTCCTTTTTGTCCATACCGAAAAATGAGCAATTTTGAAATGCATCCAGACTGCTAGCTATCAGACGGTTCAAGCCTCCAAGGCTATCTCCTAAAATAATATCCTCACTATGGTATCTAGTAGATGGAATATCCAGATCCAGTGGTCCTAGTGACTCAGGCTGCAAAGTGAAGAACATCAAATCAGGTGAATCATCCAGAAAATGTCTATGAAAGCTATTAAGAAATCATGATGGCTAAGAGCTCTTCTACACTGGCAAAAGCAAGCACATCAAAACAGTGGAAGCAATGTAATCAAACTTCGCAAGTGAAATGGAAAGAGTGTTATAAGGATATAAGATGATGAAAGATACCCAGTATATCTCTGTTAGTGCACTAAAATTCTTTGGTGAATTGTCCATGACATTTTGATCAGGTGGACACTCATCATCATCAGGTAACATCTGCAGAAAACATTGACATATTATGAATGTTACTTTGCAAACCACCTTCACTCTTGCACCTGATGAATTTATAAACCATGGATATGAAATAATACCTCAACGGTGTCAAAGCCCCTTGTGTTCACTTTCTCAATCTGCTTGCATATCTCTGGAGAAGCAATACCAGATGAACTTGGAACCTCAGGACAGAGAACAGGATTCTTTTGAAATGAGAAGGCATCACATGTTTCCTCAGCATCCCATATGGAAGATGAATGGGTAGCCAACATTGATGCAATTCCCATCTTGCTTTGATGTCCGGATATATGAGCAGCAATAGCAGCATCAAATGAATCACAGCTGAATGGAGTCTGTGGAAGACACTGAGATGCTTCAGGGACAGATGGGCCAACACAGTCAGCATCTATACCATGAGGCACTTCTGAAAGTAGATCCCCAATACTTATGTTGGTTAGACTATCAGCCCAGTCTCCAGCTGACAAAGCAGATCCGTTCCTTAACTGTAGACCATCCTAGGTACAGAGAAAATATGGCTACTTCAGAAGAAAATGGTGCATCAAATTCTACTTAATGTTAGGCCATACCCTTTGGTTATCAGAACCCCTCTAAGAGCTGCCATGTGGCCAAAGGTTTGGCTTTAGCTCAAACATAGAAACAATGCCATAATTCTACATCTCATTATTAGCGTAAAAATTATAATACCAATTAACAAAAAATCTTACGTGAATTTAACTAAACATGGTCTTAATATAAATTCAATCTCAAGAATATGGACGGCACCTGTTGGTGACTAAATAACAATTCACATTTTAAAGATTAAAAAACAGAAAGATTCTCTCAACTTAAATTTACAAGAGTAAAGACACTTACAGCATCTTCCAACAGTCTAGTCGAAGTACAATTGCCAGTCTCCTTTCTGTTCCATGGTATAATGGTCGCAGAAACTATGCTGTTATCTTTAGGACCTGTGGTAAGACATGTATTCATAGGCATACTAATCAAAGATTGTGTAGGAACATAATGTTTGTCAACTGAAGTTAGTGTGTTCTTGCTGGGAGTCCCAAGTTTCTCAGATTGGTCATCAGTCGAGGGTACAGGTATCTTCCCTGATTCCACCATCAGCCTCTTCCTATTTTCCACATTCATGTTATCTACAACAGGAACATTAAATGACAATACTGGAGCTTGTGACGTTAGAGACCCAGCTGTTGAGCGGGAAAACCAACCATACCTTCAACGAGATATTTGACATCAGTAACTATCAATAGGTAATTTGATATAGAAGATATTTATTTAAGATAATAAGATTGTGAAAGGAAACCTCAAGCGAAACACTGAAGAACTTCCAACCATTGCATGTACATCTGCTGCACTGACTGTGGAGTCCTGAGTCCATCTTGGAGAACTCATCAAATTTTCCTTCCGAGCACTGTAAGGCAAAAGCATTAGCTCACCTAGTGCTGCACTTGAATTCCCCCACTTACGGTTGAGATGCTCCCATACAGACGAAATCTTTTTCCTACTACTAAGCGTGAGCTCCAGATGTGGATTATGTTTATCCTGTTGGCAAATAAAGATTTTAGGTTTACTCCAAATGCTCCTATGTCAAACTTCATTTGGAACCAAAATCATTAATAGAATATACTTTTGCACTCACCATTTCCATGGCTCTTCGAGTAGCATCATCAATCGGAAACAACTGGAGTTTCAGTTTTACATTATGCATATTGCTTTCAACAAAAAAAGAATGAGGGGTCACTGATAAGAGAGGAGGTTTCTCAACTAGGTCAAGACCTTTTTGCCCTGAGATTAAGATGTAAAAAGGTCATTATTTTCATGGTTCTCAAAGGTTTTTCTTAACTTATTACCGGAGAACGTAAATAGTGATACAATTTAATGTCACCTGGTATACCTTGGTCATGATTAGTCTCTTTATCAGTTGCTGTGCGCTCCAAATGTTCAGCAGCATCAGCAACCAAGGAAACCCCAGCAATTGCAGCCTTTTCCCACTTTTTATAAGCAGCTGATGAAGGAACACCTGCTAAAATTTTAAAAAGCACGATACTAAAAGTTCATATCTAGAACTCGCAGTGTGACTATTTTAGTAGTCAACATTCATCTTGCAAACATCAAGGAGAAGGAACAAACCGTTGGAAAATCTATTATGATATGCACAACAAATTTCTTTTTTCAAATGGCACTTGAACTAACCCCAAATAACATCCATTACAATACAACAACATTGATATGCTACATAAATTTCGGACAGAATTCTCAATGACACTACAATGCCATGGTATCATAACGACTAACAAAAACGAACTACTAGATATCTGCTTATTCTGAACTACTGTAAATAAACATCTGACTAATCATATTATCACCAAAACACTTGGCTGATAGCCACAATAGAATGATATACAACTTTTGTTGCACAAGAAGTTTTACTTTACAAATCGGTTAAAAGTGAGAAAATCTTCTTACTTATAAGGAGAGACTGCTGTCTCCCCAAAAGAAAATGATTTTTATAGGACAAAATCTCTGTGATGTATACATTCACTTGGGTTCAACAAAATTCTAACCACATTATAGGCACCACTTATGGTAGTCTGGCTATGAATGGTCTGCTCATAGACTCGCAATTTGAGGGACTACAATAAGAAAATAAAGTTGACAAAATTTATTGGCTCAATCTAGCCATAAGGTTGTCAATCTAAGACCGGGCTATTGATATTTATATTCCTATAAACAGTCTAATTCTCTTGTCAAAGTTTCGTTGAGCCCCGAGTGAAACATTGTTCTAATCAAGATTTCGCCGAATAAAAGAGCACTCTCATCCTTAATCTTCTCTCATCTCTAATATAAGTAGGATGATAAGTCTTTATGATGGGTAATGACAAGTCCCCACAGGCAGTGCAGGTTCTCACATCCTACCTCTCATCTCTTTTTTTTTTTCTGTCATAACAATAAAATTTAATCAACAAATAATTAGAAACAAATAACCTTGATTTCTCAAGAAGTTAGCAGGGGGAATTTAAAAAAAAATAGAAGCACCTGGTTTTCGCCGTTGTCTTGCACTTTTTGCATTTGTTAACTCCCCTTTATTGTTGGTACGCACACCTATATTGATATTACGTTTAATAGATCCTTTTCCAGCTCCTAACTTTTGAATGTTTTGACTATCAACAAGAACCAGTTTAACTGGCCGGCTATCACTTCCTGTCTCTCTAATCTGATTTAAGACATTGCTTGGAGTTGCAGCGGCACAACTTTCCCCCTGCGAAGGCCGTTTTCTTACGTTCTTCTTCCGGTCCTTCAAGAGTTGGTGCTCCTTCATGGGAGAGATAAGTTGACAAGTTCAGCACATGCTCATAATGACAAGTTTCAAACACGAATTCCATCAATAAAGGAAAAATGGATAGCAAGGACTAACCAAAGCTTCTGTAAATATCTTGAATCTTCGAGGCTTCAAGTGAAGTTTTGAGGCTTTGCAACTATACTTTTCCAATAAAGACCACCTGTTAAAAAGTTGAAAGAAAAAATAAGACAAAGCAACAAACTATGAACATAGTGAGACTAATAAGCCTAAACAAAATTTTCCAGAAGAAGAGAGCAACATTTGACAAGTTCAACAATTTTAATTTCTAGATAATAGTAAACTGTAATGATAGCAGAAGAAATGCTCGATAATTCCGCACTCATTCATTTGCTGTCAAGAAGGTCATGCTAAATAATTTTCCTCTCATGCAAATTCTTGCACTGCTTCTACCTTGGTTTGAATAAATAATAATAATAAGTAAAATAGGGTATAAAATACTTTTATTCTAAAATGAAAACGAATGTGATTCTGTGTGCGTGTGTGTCTGTGCTTGCATTTGTGTCTCAATGTCCATGTGTGTGACACAGAGAGTATCGACAGAAGTCCAACAATCATGTCATTTATGTTACCAGCGAAGCATTGCAGCATTTGTGTCTTTAGAGTTTTTGGCATCCAGACTCAATTCTGGACCTAACAGCTTGTTCATCCGTCGTACAAGACGATAGTAATAATGTCTGACCTGCAAACCAGAGAATTGAAAATAAAATAGTTACAAAAATAGATTAGACTTGAGAACACAAGAAGAAAGAAATCAAGACTAAATCTTGCAGCAAATAACCTGATCCTTGTTTTTACTTTGGACACGGCAAGTGATCTTCTCAAAATTCTGTAATCAAGGGACAATAAAGTTAAAGAATATATAATGCCAAAAACAACCCATAAACTACATATCGTCTGTAACATGCCTTTCCAACTTGTCGTAATGCAGTGAAGAAACTTTCCTCCTCCTGATGTGTCCATGCAGCCCATTGTCGTGTTGGCTTTTTCACTTCAATCAGAATTTGCACCAATTTAGAAATAGATAAGTAAATTACGAATTGCTATCAGGAGGCACATTCAATATAATAAGAGGATATAAAAGTTTCAACCATAACATACCAGGAGGCTGCGGTGCAACATTATTAGGATCAGCTGAAGCTACAAGAGCTCCACCATCCCCCTGATGGACCTCCTGATGGAGAGGTGTGTCAGAGTTCAATGGAATTTGTGACTCTATTTGCATGCTTGAACAATTTTCAGAAAGACTAAGTATTCATGTTCTTGAGATCCCAAACTCCCAAGTAATGCTCCTTCTGACCTTCAGCTTTGTGTAGAGTCCAAATGCAGTGGCCCTAATTGCAACAATGGAGGATAAGCCTGAAATAAGGAGGGGAAAAAACAAAGACAATGTAACTTAAAACTTTAAAATCTGGAGAGAACAAACAAAGAATAGGGAAGAAAAGCAACTAAAATTATAGTTAGATCCTTAGCAATGACCACCACACATAGGAATGTCTAGTCTGAGGGCATTTGCACCCATGCAAAGTATCAATTCATTGTCAAAGTGATGGACCACATGATTAACTTGATTAATTTTAAAGCATACGAAGTTATTAGGAATTTGAAAAAGAAAATGAGAATCAAGCAAATTTAGAAGCTCCCAACCAAAATGCCAACACAAACCCTAACAACACGTTCTAGCTTCAGAACCTTGAAAGCCATAGTAAAGAACAATCATCTTTAATAAAACGAAGCAACCAACGCCCAAAATATCAGTACCCAAAATTTTGAACAATCATAAAATAGATCTCTTTTGGTTGGTGCAAAATGTATGAAAGTAAATAAATTTCAATTAAAATCGAGTTCATATGACCATGAGGAACAATACCTCAACGGAACAATGCCCAAACAAACCAATGTTCTAACCCGAGTATAACCTTTTTGTGCATTTAATATAAACTAAACAAGTAAACTCCTAATGAAGTTATTCAATTTTGCTTCCTTTCGTTTCCCCTAATTTTCTCAACAACCAAACATAAGCAAGTGTTTATTTTCCAACTAGAAAATTAGTCAAGAGAAGGTTTAAATAGAACAAATAAATTAATCTGTTCGTAAAGTTTGGTAAGCAAAATAATAATAATAATCATCATACCTGCGAAAGAGAGAAGTATCGAAGAATTAAACAAACCCTAAGAAGCGAACGGAGGAGTTGGAGATTTGGGATGAAGTAAACAAATTGAAACCGGAGAGAATCTTCCGACAAAGGTCCGGAGTTGAAGGAGGAGGAGAGAAGGAAAAAAAAAAAAGGGAAAAAAAAAAAAAAGATTTTCACTTTAGAGAAAATTAAAATAAAATAAAAGAAGAGAAGGTTGTTAATTACTAGTAGCATGGAAAATTTCTGAATTTTCTCTTAATTTTTAAGAATTAATTTTAAATTTTATAAATAATAAAGTAATAGTAATCAGTCTTTTCATTTTTAATTTTGAATTTTCCAATCTAATGCATTATTATTTAATAATATAATATAAATAATTTTAATGGAATTAACATTCATCTTTGTTGTAGGTGTCATCATTTTATTATTTATTGTTTGGATGGAATTTATGTGGGTGGATAAAGACAGTGTTGCATTGGATTTCTTTTGAAGGAATTTAGAATAAATTTTTTTATTGATGGGTAGTGGAATAAGGTGATCCAATTCTTGTTTATCCAAAATATTTTAAAAATTAATTTATAAAAAAAAAGAATAATGTATATAAGACTGGTTATTTGTTTATGTATTTGCATGATCCAATTCTTGTTTATGTACTTGTTTAGTGCCGAAAGCACCACTTGCTTCATTCACAACCCTAATACACAACTAAACTTGTATGATTAACTTATTCATTAAAGTTCACTTACAAATATAATTCCAAAACCATTTACAAAAGATTGCGATAGAAATATTTTTGGAGTAATGATCTTACACCGAAATTAATTATATATGTCGATTTAAAATTGTTTCATAAAAATTTTAAAGTGAATCTTGTTCAAATTCGTAATATGAAAATATTATTCATTATTTAATTAAGAGATAACTTTTCTTTAATATATTATACTAACCAATCAATTTTTTCAAAAATAGAATAAAGGAAGATAATCTAGGGTAAATTTTTTTTTTTTTAGTAGATAATCTAGGGTAACTTAGTTGTGTTATGATTAGGAGAAATATTTGCAATACTTTCTACAAGCAAAAGGAAAAATATAAGATCATCAAGGATCTAACAAGCGATGAATGAATACTTAATAAATTTAGTGGTCCGATTCGTTATAAATCACGGAATGAACATACAAATATTCTTTCATAATAATATTATACACCAAGGTTACAATAATTAGAATGTAATATCTAAAGAAAAAAATAGAGTAAAGCAATCATAGTACATAAATGAGATTAGTCCTCATGCCTTTCCCTCGTTCTCATATGTTTTCTTCTTCCATGAAGTTTCATGGATTGCTGAGGTAAATAATACCTCTAGCTGCTCTGGTTTAGGCCTTTACATCCCGATTTATTCTGATCTCCATGAACAAAAATATCGCTGCTTCTAGTTTTCCGTTATCTTCCAGGTATTCTTTCTGTCTACTTTAATTTCAAATAGTTCTGTATATGGTTTGTAAACAATTTTACAGAAAGAAGCAATAGGTAAGCATCTGCTGACTCCTCATGGCACCGCTATGTAACAGCTTCAATTATAACTTTTAATGCAAGGTTAATACTGAGAGGACAAAGAACACCACATTTGATCAGTCATAGACAAAACTGCAGCAGTTTATTAAGACAATGAAATTATCAGGAACCAAACTCTAAGAGAATTGTTTACCTCTACGAAATGTGGATGTAGCGACCCAACTTAAATGTAAATAGAGTTCTCTGCAGTTCATCTTGGAAAATCTGAGGATGTATCAACGATCCAATGCCCGCAAAAAATTTAGTAGTTCATCAAATAGTAATGGATTTCGAAAGCACTAGTCTATACATAGGGCAGCCTCGGTCTAGAACATGTTGCTCCCAATCTGATCTCACTCCAAATGGGTTCTCCTCGAGCCAAAATGGGTTGTTTGTTTTGTCATCATACTGGTTATGCACAAGTGCAAATTTACCTTTTCCATATTGCAGAAACTGATCTTTCATTCTCAGAACAACTGCCTCTATGTCAGATTGTAGAAACACCTAAAAGAAATTTTGATTTAAGTACTAGTAAGTAATGGAAAATTTTAATGTATAAAATGTTTACTCTAGGAGAAATAGCTAGTCTTGGTCTAATGGCTTAGTTTATACTATCTGCTTTGGTTTGTCTTCCAATGTCAGTCAAGACTTCATTTATTTTGGATATATGGTTCACCCTGCATAAAGAACACTTTTGAAATAATTTTAGAAATTTTATGTATATTAAAATTAAGAATTCAGAGCTAATTATTAAGATCCGATATCTCCATTTTAATTTGTTCCTTTACTACTTTTATCTTCATTCTCTCCTCATCCTACATCAAAAATACTAATAAACAACTCGAAGAGATTTAATCTTTTCCTCCCATTGCTAGGTACAGCTTTCTCCATGTTCTGGAAGAGAATGAAACCTTAAAAAGTGAATTCACTACTCTTATGCACAAATTTGTACTTTTGTCACTTAGCTCTATAGTGACAGATATTGCCACCGGTTAAAGGAACAAAGGCTTCATCTAAAATAGACTCAATCTTCTCGTGGTTGTGTTTGGAACCTTAGGCCACTTTCACCATGAGAACATACGTAGATAAAAGAGGCTCAAAGGTCTCACTAAATTGATATATTCCCACATAAAACAAGTGTAGAAATATTGCAAGACCAATCTCTTCCCATTTCTTACCATTTTACCCTTTATTCTGTTATTCTCCTTTTTTGTCTTTTTGTGCAGGTGTCGAGTATGGCAGCTGGGGATGCCTCTGCCTCTGCCATTTTACGTTTATTCCTTTTGTTGAGGAAGGTTGTTATTTTTGTTTTATTCTCCTCCATCTGCCTATATAATGGCAACCCGATGAATGAAAGAAATAAGAGAAAATTTTGAGAATTTTCCATTCTCAAAAACTTCATGGTATCAAAGCATACCTGATCCGAAATCATCATCTCGTTCGCATAAAATGACCACGGATGAGCAGACCTCCTCTCCTCCCGAAGTTCTTTCGGAATCATACCTTACCGCACCGGTAAACCACACTCTGGTTGATCAGACTCCTTCGTTCGTCACTGGGCACAGATTAAATGGAAGTAATTATCTCCAATGGTCATCGTCTGTGTTGATGTTCATATGGAAAAAAGGCAGAGACAAATACCTCACTGGAGAACTCTTAGTACCTCCTGCCAACGACCAAGTGCTCATTCATGGAAGGTGGAGAACAGTCTCGTCATATCCTGGTTGGTGAATTCCATGACCATCGAGATTGGAGAAAACTTCTTGCTATATAAGACAGCACACGACATATGGGAAGCCGCTCGTGAATCTTACTCCAGTCGCGACAACACATCTGTCATCTTCGAGATAGAAACTCATCTCCACGACCTGCGACAGGGAGAGTTGATAGTGACCCAGTACTACAACATCCTCACTAGGAACTGGCAACATCTCGACGCATTCGAAGAACGTCAATGGAGTTGCCCCGAAGACGCCCAATTGTTTAAGACCATCACCAAACAAAAACGCATCTTTAAATTCTTAATGAGTTTGAATAAGAATCTGAACGAAGTTCGCGGTCGTGTTCTGGGCACCAAGCCACCGCCGAGCATTCGAGAGGCGTTCTCTAAAGTTCACCGTGAAGAAAGCAAGAAGGTCGTGTTGGGATAAGCTCACTTTGGCCCAACAGAGATTGTTTCAGCCCTCACGGCTCGAAATAAAGCAGTAATAGGTGAAGCCCAGTTCGACGCACACCAAACTGAGATCGTCACTGCTCTCACAACTTGGACGACTGATTTTCAAAGGAGGAAAGGACGACCTTGATGCGAATTTTGTAGAAAATCAGGTCACTACCATGAGAAATGCTGGAAGCTTCACGGAAAACCAAACAACAAAAAGATCTCAAAGCCGGAACCAAATCGGGGCAACCTTGTGATGACAGAAGACTCACCTATCACTCCCACAAAAGCTTCTCCTTTTAGCCCTGAGCAGATGGAAGTGTTGCAGAAGCTTTTTTCCCAAAAGACCCTTGGTAATGCCTCCACTGCACACAAAAGTAAAAGTTTAACTGATTTTTCAGCTTATTCCACAAAAGGACAAATGTGGATTGTAGACTCTTGGGCATCGAATCATATGACAGGAGATATGTCACTCTTTTAAAATTATAATCAGTGTAAGGAGGATTTCACCATCCAGATTACCGATGGGACAATTGCTAAAGTGGCAGGGACGGGGTCAATTGTTGTGTCACCATGGTTGACTTTGTATTCAGTACTCTATGTCCCGAAGTTGAATTGCAATCTTTTATCAATAAGAAAATTATCTCAAGATTTGCATTATACTGCTAAGTTTAACTCAAATCTATGTGAATTTCAAGACTTAGACTCAGGGAAGATGATTGGCAATGCTAGGATGGATTCTGGCCTATACCTCCTACAAGCTGATAGACTCTGAATCTGTAAGTCATTTGCACAATTAAAGTTCCATCATGTTATGATATTATCGCTTAGGATATCCAAATTTCTTGTATCTAAAAAAGTTATTTCCACCTTTGTTTCGGAATAAAAATCCCAACTTCATCCAATGTGAAGTGTGTCAATTTTCTGAACACATTTGAAACTCATATCCACATTTGATTTACAACCTTTCAAAACTATTTTCATTAATTCATAGGGATGGATTGGGGCTCTCACGAGTTACGAATATCACTATAACAAAATAGTTTGGATCCTTTATTGATACAAAAAAACTGAAGTTGGACCAATTTTTCGACAATTCAACACTATGATTTAATATCAATATACAAGTGTTGAAATCTAATAATGGATGTGAGTATTTTGAAACCAAATTGAGAAAATACCTTTTTGATCAGGGTATTATTCACCAAAGCTCTTGTGTAAATACCCCACAACAAAATAGTGTCGCTAAGAGAAAAAATAAACATATCCTTGAAGTCACCCAATCAATCATGTTCACTACCCATGTCCCAAAATATCTTTGGGTAGAGGTAGTACTCACAGCCACATACTTAATAAACCAAATACCCTCCCGGATACTCAATTTTCAATCACATTATGACAAACCTTTATTATGAGTCTGGCTACCAGTTCGATTACGGAGAGGAGCGTTGTGACATTTACTCATATGCCCCTCATGGATCCGGATTAAGTTTTCCAGGTCATTCCGCTCCGAAAAACTTACGAAGTGCTTTTACCCTAGCCGAGTCTTCTTTTCCTCCTTTCTTTGCAGAGTCACCGCGTAGGAATGTATCCCGCCAACATTCATCAAAAAATGAATGGGGATGTTATAGTGGGGACAATTAAAAGAGGCATTCTCTGGCACCTTAGCATCCTGCGTTTTTACCCGCAAGCATAAGTTCTTCACCATTGAAGGCATATCCTTGGTTCGATGTTTTTTAATAGGTGGTTCACAAGTTCAAAATCCGCGACAATAAGCTTCCACCAACCCTTTCCATGTCTCGCCCTGAGGAAAGAAAATCCTCTTTGCCCTCTGGTTTCCATTCACTGACAAAACTAAATACTCCCCTCTATTATTGTTTCTACACGTCAACCAAAGCTCGTAACTCCTTCTCACTAGATGCTTCGCCCATATACCCTTCTTTCTTTTCCACGAACCATTTAAGTTCCCCCTTATCTAGAAAGATTAATTTTCGAAAACCCTTCCCATTTTCATAGATTCTCAACCCTTTCGCCCTCCTGCTTTCACAAACTAGGTAAAAAGGTTTGTTATTGCATGTGAAGTCCTGTCTCTTGTACGCACTCATGAGAATCACCCCGGGGCGATCTAGTTGGTCAGCCTAAGTTCACGACACTAAATAATCTTTAAGTCATTAACCCCTAAGGTCAATGATTGTTGAGAGAAGAAGAGAACTTTTCGCCTTTAAATTAATGGCCAGATGAAAGTGCTTAATAATAGTTTAAGTAATCTACTCTGTGCCTTGTGGAATAGAAACAAGACGACTAAGACCTAATTTTATCAATTGTTGAGTTTGCCCAATAATTCTTTATACAGGTCAACCACAAAATGTTCCTCTATCTCCTTATACTTGCATCTTTTAAACCCAACAGGTCTTTTGCCAAATACATTTTTTTTTTTTTTGAAATAAAAAGAGCTAATATGGTATTATAAACATAGTACCAAAATGGGTACCGCCCATGTACAGTAAATTTACATTCTAGTAAGGGTATCAATGACAATCCCAAAGTCTACTCCACTCATCATGTCACGCCCTATTACATATTCCCAAAAAAAATGAAATCACAAGGTCTTTTGCCAAATATATACATGACTTGAATGCTAAGAATAGGCAGAGCATTGCTTTAACTAAAGTAAACTACAACCTTGTTGATGTTTATAGTTTAATGTTAGTGATTATATCATGATAGGTGTTTGCTCTGAATGATATTTTAAAAATTCAGTGAAAAGTTGCATGCTCCAGCCTTTGAAGCTTTCCCCATCTTTTAACCCCTTAAACCTTATAGAGACTCACTTTACTTATCTAATCATATCAAATATAGAAAATGAAATAAGATTACTCATAAACATTAATTCTATGTTTATTGTGGAAGACTTATCACTTTATTGAGGCCTCTTAAAGCCTCACTTTTTGTCTTCAAGTGGTCCTACAAGAAAGTAGCTTAACAAGGTAAGGTTCCAGTGTTGTCACCATCAACTGAGAAGATTGAGGATTTTATAGACAAAGATTTTGTTATTTATATTGACGGTAGTAGATGCTATTTCAATTAAGTTGGGAATGTGACCAGATTTCAATACTTGAATTTCTGATGATTTTATGCATAGAAAATCATTGAATAATCATAGACGTCTAAGCTTAAGCTTTGTTAGGGTCTCCATTGTGTTGGCAACTAACTTCAAATCTATTCAAGCACTACATCACCCACACCCAAAAAATAGGGGCAAAATGTTGAACCTGCCTAGCGAAAGAACTAGAATAGGAAAAATAAGTACTTAAAAACTCAGGTCCCGTTTGGAACAGCTTTTGGCTATGACTTTCAGTTTAAAAAACAATTTTGCAACCAAACAAGTAAGATGAAAAATACTTTTAGCAAAAGCCGAAATCAAAATTTGATAGGTTTAAACACAAAAGCTACAATTTATAGCTTTCAGAAAATAATTTTTTTTTTCCAGTAAAAATTTACATTTGAAATCTCAGAATTCATTTTCACAAAATACACATCTTTTATTTTTTTAAACTTATAGCACTATATACAACTATTTTTACCAAAAGGCAAACAATTTTGACCAAAAGCACTTTTAGTGAAAAACTGATTTAACAGCACTTTTGAAACTCACAGCACAAACTACAGGCACCTTAGTCCACTCATAATCAAGAATACTAACGAGATAAACTATGATGTAACTAGGTTCGAAAATGGAGCCTTCCCATTTCTTTTAGAATAGGTTTTTGCATAAAGCTTATTTCTCTCTATTAGTTCTCCATCAAATTCTACCAAAGACTTTGAGTATCATAGTGTACTACACAGAATATGGAAGCTGGTCTACCTTTCCATTATATACAAGGAGATCCGCCACTGCTTCAATTAGTGGCTTCTGCAGCATCGTCCATCTATGCTCTGGTTTGTTAAAATCAGGGTTTGGACACTGTAGAAGGATTTAGTCATGCTTAAACTTCAAATATGAAATTATAGAACATAATCTAAAAAAGAAATCAAAGACAAGAACACATCACTATTATCTTCTTCACTAGTCCATTTTCAACACTTTCATAATACTTTTATCGTCATCTTAAATGAAAATTGAAAAAGAATAAGATTTTAAGAGAAACTGATAAATCACTTCCTCCCAACCTCCATAGAGTGGCAGCTCTTTCCTTTTGGGCAATGTAGGAAGAAAGGTGGTGTCATGACACAAATAACAATGGCAGTGAGAAGTTGTCTAAATGCTTTCTAATCAAGCTGAATTTCGCAATTCATTGACAATTTAAGTAACATTTTACTTTATTCTTTATTTCATGTTTAAGAAGCAAATCAACTGGAAATCAAAGCAGTTAGTCTTTACCTGTATTGAAACAAGAGCCAGATCTCCTGGGTAGTTTGAAACAATAGAACGAAATGTGGATGTTGCGTTCGTTGAAATGAAATACCTGAAGAGAGCCACAACAATGTAGATAGAATTATATAACAAGAGAGCAATCACCAAAGGAAGCATTACGAGCATCTTTGACCAGCCATCAAAATTGGAAATGGAAATGAAAAGAGAGCACAAAACTAAATGGACGAATACCATATCTGCTTTACAATTACCCTAAGAGGGAGGGAGGGAGGCTGGGTCAGTGGATGTTTCATATATATTGTTAAAGGTTACAGCCCATACCTGTTTTTTATGCCAAACTGATTAACAGAATCTAGACAACGCTGTACAAGCTGAAAACATTTCATATGTTAAAAGGGAAAACAAGGATAAAACTGAAATATAGAAGGAGAATAAGAAATCTGGACAGAGCAGAAAACCTTGCCATTGATTTCCAAACCGAGAAAATTCAAATCCTTCCTCTTGCTAGACATTCCCATGATAAACAATCCATTACCTGTCATTTTTATTCCAAACATAAGAAAATTTTGCAATATTCAGAAATCTGAGGTCTTTCTCTTTTTGTTCTTTTCTTAAATGGCACTTTAAAGAAAATATATTTTGTTCTGAGTGTAGAAAAATACAAAATATTAACAGACTCTAACAAGATATTCTCACGTTACGCAGTCTACATAAACTTTTTTCATTCAATTTTCCCTTTCTAGCTCCTGTTGTTGAAAATGGTATATTATTATTCTCTTTTTCAATCATATAAGAATATTGATAAACTTTTTTGAGGAATCAGGGAGCAATAAACATAAGCTGTTTTCTATTTCCATTAGGAAAATAAAAATGAAAATAAGCATGATTTTGAAAGAATAGAAAAATGGCTCCTGTTTGGTATGAGAAAATATTTCCAATTTTCATATTTTATATGCGCTTTATGGCATAGTAGAGAAAATAATAACATGCATTACAGTTGAACATGAAAGAAATATTTGGAAATAAATCTAAATATAGCATCAATTTGAAAGTAATAAAGTATCTCTTTATAGCTAGAAAACTATATTTTGTTGATACTTAAATACCATAATTTACATGCTAACATAAATTCAAATAAATATGTATACATAAATGTGTATGCACAAACATAAACTCATATATAACTACATCTAAATGTATACATATTTGTACATATGTACATATATTTTACGCAAATCTATCAACACATATATAAGTACATGCAATTATAGATACATATATATATGTATCCTTCACAAAACTATATATACACACATATATGCTCATATACTTGCAAAAGTATCTGTATATAAATATCATATACAATATATAGTTAAAAAGAATCATATACCTAATACACAGCTTTCAATGTTTCCTCAGTAGTTCTATTTGTACTTAATTATCATCATTACAAGTTTGTTTCAGAGTTCAACTGAGATACTATGCAAGCAAACATAAAGTACAACAGACAGATATTTAAATATTTATATACATTACATACATGACATGAAATAGATAAACATGTACATTCATATACATAATTTCATACATAAATATATATATATATATAGATATACGTACATCTGTCCATTTCCATGCATACACATATGTATGCACACATCAATATAGATAAACATATACATACTTTACTTATTTTCTTGTCTGTATATCTTGTGTGCATAACCCCGCATGTACACATATACATCTAACTGATGTAGGATAGGAATCTTCTGTATGATCTTTATGTATCACTAAAGGCATGTATCTTATTTCGGAACTTTTAGAGTATAACAATACACTGAACCTCTGATCAACTTAAGCTTTTGAATAATTAACCACATACATTTATTTCACATAGTAATAGATCAGGCATCCAGAATTAGAATTTTGCTGCTCTATTCCCGTTTTGCAAAGGGGCAATAGAGTCATACTTGATTAACGCTTTCATGCTAGAAATCATATGAGTGAGAGGACATGTAAACATAAACAATAAATTACATCGTTTCCTATTGACTTAGTTTTTTACATAATTACTCAAAAAATTATCTCACAAGAACTGTCAGGAATAAGCTTATTATTGATTTACAATTTTTTTTAAATAAATTGTTGGTTTACAATTTTTATTTCTTAATTTAGCCAACAGTCAATTTTCTTTTCCTTTTTTTCTATCTTTTTAAACCTTAATTTGTTCGTACCACATATATACCCACATTCGACATACATATGTACAAACATACATAAATTACATATATATATTCATAGTCCTAATTTTGGTTATAGATAATTTCTTTTTATCCTTTCATAACAACAAAAAGGAGAGGAGAATGACATGTGTTCAGACCCTAAAAGACTCGGGTCAAAATGATAAAAAAGCTACTGAGGAAGGTAGTAAGGCACTCTTGGTTTATTATAAAAAGAAAAAAATTGCTGAGCTGAGCTGGCATACCAGAGTTGAGTATTTAGAAATGGAATAATTCTGTTATTATAGCTGGTAGTTTTACACCAGTAGTAGTTACTATTAGGATTTCCTCTATGTTATGGTCTGTCGGATTTTTCTGTATTTTCATACTAGAGTGAGAATTTAAGAGAATGCAGTCCTGTAATGGGCATATTACAATTTGCCTACCAACATTTTTGAATTAATCAACAGTATCCTTTCTAAATTCTCTCCTCTCACCACCTCTTCTCCTTTTCTTCTCTCAAGCTAACCCTAAAATATCTCCTCCTCTCTTTTCTACTCACCTCCAAAACTTCTTCTCACTCTCTTTCATCACCTCACACAAGTTCACAGCGGAGTTCATGTCTGGAGCTCCTAACCAAAAATAATGCCATCAAGTTCTAAATTCAACAACAAACAAATTTTCTAAGTTCACAAATCGGGAAAATGAAAAATGTTTTCATTTTTTCTAAACTGAAAATAAAACTAGAAAATAGTTTGTTATACAAGATGCACATTAAATTACATGAATGCAGTTGACGAAAACATACCACTACCAATATCAACTACCAAAGGTTGAGCTGGATTGTAGTAGGCAACATTCCAATCAATCTCGAGTGGGTATGACTACAGAAAGCATGAACTTTTAACAATTAGAGTTATATTTAGAAAGAAGTATACAAAATCTCAAACTTTTAAAAACTTTGACAAAGCTGCTCAACAAAGCTTAAAATTTTTGGTCGAGTAGAGTTTATAAGCTCTTAAGAAACTTAAGACTTTTCTTACCTAGAGAAAAGCTTACAATCTAGCAATTTATTTTATAAGCTGATGTTGGATAGCTTTTTTGTTAGAGCAATGAGTGCTCTACAATAAATTGGTGATGACCAAATAAATGATAATATTATCCTAAAATGTTGCAGCCCCGAGCCAAGGATCTGGTCACTAGAAACCACCATACTTCTAACCCATGCAGTTTCCCCTTTCTCCCAGAAAAACTGTCCCAGTAATCTGAACAGCTACACAGTCTCTTTTCCCGACAAAATAATCATTGACCTAAAACCCCTTCCATTTTCACTTACATTGACACAATCCACCTTCTCACCCAATGGCAATATGTCAAAAGTCTTCCTATCAATGGCAAGAACCTTCTAGATCAGGGACGAGACAGGGGTGCAAGCTCGAGGAAATGCTCTGACAGCCAAGGGTAATTGGAGCAGTGGAGAACCCAGTGAAAATGAGAATGATATGAAGATAGGAAGTAGACTTTTGATCTGGTAACTCAACAAAGTCTTCAGACCATACCAGCCATAAACCCAACATCCAACAGAGGAAGCACTACACTATAAAGCTGTTCTCATGCTAACTCAATGATCTATGAATGTAAAGAACAGACATAAAAACTCATTCATTCATCAATTTCTGTTGTTCAGGCATATCACAATTAATCAGGCCAGACGGAAAAATTCAGCTATATATATATATTTGCTAAATAAGCTTGTACAGCTTTAAACTAATCACACGCTTATGCTCTACAACTCATAAGCTTCTCTATTATGCTAAGTCAAACATACTCTAATTTCTTTATTTGAATGGATGAATTAAATTAAAGGCCCACCCAAAGAATCAAATGCATCCCACCTTTAAACTGCATAATTCAAGAAAATTAACTTACTGCCGTCATAATTACAACCACATTGTTAGCAACCAATAAACCCAAGGATTTTATTTCTCACAATGACATATTAGAGCGGATTGGAGAGGAATAGGTCATAAGATTAAAAGGTCTTCTAATTGACTTACAGACATAGATATCAATACCAAACTCTTATTCTAAATGTAAAATTCTAAAGGTTAAAGTCACCGAAATACCTCCAGAAAAGCCTGATTTGGGCACTGATATGATAAAAGAGCCCAAAACTTTTGTTTGGAAATGCACTTTGAAAACCAAAGTTATATGAAGTGAAGCATCTTCACTCCATTACAGGGATTTAAAAACCTTTCTTCTCTGAAGTACCAGAGAATCTAAGCGTGACAGACAAGAGCTTAAGCAACAAAACAATTGTCTTCATTAAAACAACAGAAAATTTCTTCCCTCAACTCTCTTTTTTACAGTAGTAAAAGTGAATGCAGGCAAAGTTTTAACATACCCTATCTAAGGCCATGACCGCAGGAAGCTTTCTTCCTTTCAGAAACTCCCATGCAACTGAACCATGCTCTACCATATTAACAACTGGAACATAACTTACTTCCTCTGCTATAGCAGAACATGCCGCATTCCCAATAACAGTTATGTCAGAATCATTTTTACTCTGTTTACGAACCATTTGAGCCAATCTAGACATTCCACTTGTATATGAACTTGAGAACCTGAATTTCACAGGACCAATCCATAGAATTTTCTGCAAAAGTTCGAGAAAAATTATTCAAGGAACATGAGCATGACAAAAGCAGCAGCAACAATGGGTGAACTAAGTCAAAAGCAATCTGAGAACAAGATAGCATCATGAAATAAAACAGATAACTGAATAAGAAAGCATCTAGAATGTGTTCTCTTCACTTCCTATTGAATTCCTAGTTCTAATTCTTGTAATAGTCTTAATATGCATAATTAGAACATTACTTGCTTTTGAGTTACACCAGGCTCACTTGATATCTTCTGATGGCGGGAAATTCAACCCCTAGCTTGAAAGGTGGAAGGATAGTCACTCAAATAAAACAAATTATATTCTAATTGTGCATATTAATACTAATATTAAAATTAGAACCATGAACTAAATGAGAAATGAACCAAATGCAACTTTAGTCATTTCTCTATCAACTCCCATTTTCATTAAAACACCTTGATAGTAAAGATTTATGTCTAATCTAGCCAGTGGTTGAGAAAATATTATCATTGACATTTAAATTACCAGAAAAACACATAAAAGCACAAGTCCAAAACAAAATAATACAAATGCTCCAAAGTACAAAATGAAAAGATTTTGACTTGATCAATTCTTTTTTTGTTTTTGAAATAAAAAGTGTAGAACTATATTAACATGGTACCAAACAACTGGGAGTACCACCCTTATACATAAAGTTTTACAATGTAACTAGTGAGTCAATAACATGCCCCAAATCCACATCACTAATCATATCATGCTCTAAACAATAAAAACCCAAAATTGAGTGGATCAATTTTCAGCATATCATATTCAGATTTAGCTAAAATTATACTCATGTTTATAACTCTTAAGCAGAAAATACCAACATACAGAAAACACCACTAGAAACACTAAAATATCAATTCCTTTCTTACTTTACCTTGCATTTGGTAAGAAAAGAATTAATTTCTTCCAACGACCTTGGCCCAAGATCAACTGGCATCCAACCTAGTATGAACGAAATTAGGATAAGTGATGTAAAGTGAAAAATGTCTTTGTTGTGAAGTTGGAAGGTAAGGAATGAGAGCTATATATCCAATGGCTTGCTATACTGTATCAATGACAAACTACATATTACTTTCTGGTAGTTTTGCTTCTAGTTGCATCTAACAGGTGGAAAAGAAATAGTACTAATCGTCTTAATCACCAAACTATCCCTGATATTGGATCCCACCAAGCACCATACAAGTTATAATAAAAGATTCGTGAACTGTAAGCAGCATACAAACTCAGCCCTTCATGCTAGATTTGATGGGCTAATAATCATGAGATTGCATACCCTTATAACAATGAGGTGGAAACAGAGAACGATTTTACTAGGAATGACCACATCTTATAATACTTAATATAGCTGATTGAACATATCTACAAACAAATGATGAGCTTACAGCAAAAGTGATGCAAGAGATATCTATAAACCGGATGTATAGGAGCAACAGGGAAAAGGAATAAAGCATAATAAATCCTGGATATTAAAATATTAGAGATAAACAAGGGATATAGTAGTTCACCATTTTACATTTATGACAGTGACATTTATGTTGTTTCACTACAATCCCAATTCAAATTTATGCGCCAGATATAGATATATTGTTATTTCCATCTCTAACTTGAATATCACCAGTCATTCCAATTGAAAAACTAACCATATCTGTGACTTCCAACTATTACAGATAATATGTACCAGTCAAAAAGTCTAGTAATAAGCCTAGTTTATTCATCTATAAAAGTCATGTTGTTCTACCCCAATCCTTATTCGTATGATGTTGTTGATGTAGTATCTCCTTCTTGCTCCCTGCTAAAATATCATTCTTCTTTCCCATTTAAGAACATAATATTTTTCCTTAACTGCCAACAGTTAAAACAAATGTATGTGCGCCGATATCCCAATTTTTAGATGCTAAAATCAGACTGCTCAATAGATTTTATACCATATGGTTTCTGATTATCAGCTTATAAAGCTAGTTCAACTAAGATATCGTGCCAACAGTTTCATCTCCAATGACTCCATAATAGATAGTACTAAGTTTCATCTCCTCCTTAGAGGATACTGGAGCAGTTGTTGATATGCTAATTAACATATAACATCCTTTTGTATATTGGACGATACCTTCTTGGTACCTTTTAATCCGAATCTTCTTTTATTTCAAAAAAAAAAAAAAAAATTTTGCAAAAACATTTGATAAAAAAAAAAAAGAGAATACATTTTTTTTTATAAAAAATAAATCAATATTACTTACAATCATAGACATATGCCAATATACGATATGGTAACTTGATTTAGTTTGATTTGGTCTGTGCTTAAGCATATAGCAAACAATATGCCAGAGATGGAAAAAGCTATTATAATGTAATATTTGAAAAAAAAAAAGACTAAAATAACCTAAACGTTGTATAGAGTTACAGGCCTGGACACTAAACCAAAAAAAATGCAAAATAATTATTAACAACTATGGAAGTCTATTGCAAAAATGATTAAGTTTAACAATCAGTTTTGCGAAAACTAGAGAATTTATCTGCAAGCCAATTAATGTAACTGAAAGCATCAAACCAATAAAAAATTTAAAAAGAAAAGAAAAGGAAATCAATTTCTTCCAGGCTGAAGAAGCAAAAATAAATATATAGAATGCCATGGTCGATGTAATTACTATCTCACCATCCAAAATTCCTTGGGCAGGAAATATTTCCAAATGTTTTTCAAGATCATTCACACACCAAAAGTCTTTTGGACATAAAATAGGTATGTTTCTATCATGTGCCAACTTGACTATATCTAAAGCGGCTTCATGTGCCCCACGTTCCAATAAATTTGAAGGGACAGCTTGTCCCAAAGCATGCATTATTTGGAATGATATTGGTCCAATCAAAATCAACCCATCACATCTAGAAGCCAAAAATTGCAAAGCAGCTGCTTTATCATATATATTGCCGCCTCCAATCTACATTCAGAGAAGACACAATTGACAATTAAAGAACAAACACTAACAGACAAAAAATGCCCAAAACTTTATTTAAAAAAAAGGATAAGAGGTAGGTACATACGATAGCAGCAAAAAGTTTCTTGTTAGCTTTTATAGCATTCTTTAGCTGGGAGAGGCATTCTTCAAAGTAAAAACCAGCCACACATGCACCACAAAAGCGAGCAACCCCAACAGTTGATGCAAGGACTTTATGGGACCGGGAAAATGAGTCATTAACAAAGATATCAACTCCAGATGACAATAATTTGGCAAACTTTGAACAGTTAGCAACTTCCTCTTTAAACTCAGAAAGATTCTCAAGAAGAAGAATTTCAGCTTCGTCAATGACTTCTCTCTTTAATGACATGCCAAAAGATAAGCCTTTTACTGAAACCACTTTGTATTGGAGAAGTGATGATAAGATGTCTGAAACATAGAGCACATAATATTTAACTGGATAGCAACTTATTGCCATGGCCAAAAGTTCCTATACAAAACCCGGGTTTCAAAATTTCATATCTCTCTTTTCCATTTGAGTTTTCCAATATTGCAATAAATATGCAGTAAAAACAAAGGCAACGATATCCTACTTGGTAAAGTTTTTTATCTGAAACAATCAACAAGAGTTCAGATCATAAGTGTAAACAAATTAAGCCCTCATACCTGGAATTGATTCTTCAACAAGCTTTGAAGTAATTTTCTCACTCCAGTCACTGACAAGAATTATTTTGGCTCTGGCTTCAAGTAAATATTTAATTGTGTAGAGTGCCTTGGAAACTGATTTAGAATTCCACTCTAGTTCCTTCTCAAGCAAAATTGTGGAGTCAAATCTAACCATGACAACTTTAGCAGTAAGCTCCTCCATTGGAATTTCTCTAAGAGATTGTATAGATGGGAAGTCACCTGATAGTACTCCATTGCAAATAGTGGTCTAAATAAAGCCAGTAAGGAGAGCATTATTACAGTGAACCACGAAGAAAATTTTCCTTCATGAATTCAAATTGCTTCCAATCAGTTACAGTTATCAGTTCGAAATATATTTCTTAGCTATCATATTTCCTTCCCCTCATATACATTCCAAAGGAGTGCCAACCATGAAAGGGAACTTATAAGAGAGAATTACACAGAATACTAGTGAGGTACTTTAGACAATCTCCATCTTGAAAGGCATGCCCCTTACATAAAATATACAGGTACTCTAACACACACAAAAGGAGGAGCCCTCAAATGCTCTTTGTTCCTTTGCTTCTGAATGATCCAAAGAGGATTAGGGATACAATCTCCATCCTAATCCTACCTGCTTGAATTCCACGCCAAGCCCACAACTCAGCCTCTATATAGAGTCGAACCACCCAGCTAATTTAGTGAACGTGAACGTCTACTTTGTTCTATTTTTCAGCCTCTATAGATTCCAATCATATGCATACAAGTACACGGACACATACATACACATAGATATCATATATGGATTTCATAATCTATTGCTCACAACAACACTCTTTAATATAAACTTTTTATCACCATACACAAATGTTATGTAATTACAGAGATTAACCATATCATTGTAATTAGAATCACTGGCATAATAGTTGAAAGGCTTAACCATATCATTGTAAGGACAAAAGGAAAATAGCCGAAAAAGGTACCTCTTTGTGAAGTGAGCTTTTAACATGATCAAGTTCAAGCACTTTCTGCCCACCTGCCAAGATGCTATTCCAAAGAATCAAACATGGTAACAAGATAAAGCAGTGTAATCTGTGCAGTTCTAAAGTTATTTACTTAAATTGGTAACCTTGCAAGGACGATTTTCGACAAAATTGGTTAGGCAATTTTCCATTTCTAGTATATGAGCATGAATTTTGTTCAAAACACGTCAGAAAATTGCGGGGACAAGTGAAAAAACTGGGTTTGCTAATCAACAGAATTCCATTAAGAAGGTACAGAGAGTGACCCATCCCTGCTACTGCTTGATGAGAAGCCTCTTTAACTCTTTGAAGCAACACGAGAAACAGGAAAACAAAGACCCAAAAACCAAAGTTAATGAGAAGCGAAAAGAGGTGAAAGAGGCATAAGAAGTAGTGATAAGCAGCGCATTGATGAAGACAGAAGAATAATTTTGAACTTACCTAATCTGCAATCAAATTGTCGAGAAACTAGGGTTAGCTGGTTCCCATTTGGAGAACTTGTCACTGAACTTCAATGGGTAGTAGCCACTGGGCCTTGCGCTCTTCCGACAACGGTCAGAGAAAAGGTTGACCCTGAGAGAATTTCTGTAAAAGCAAAAATAAAATATTATTTTTATCCATATAAAACTGTTTATATTGCAATGACACCATTCTAGTAGATTTAGACACGACACCGTTCTACTAGTTTTGAACCTTTACAAAACGGCGTAGTTTCATCGTTTGTTTTATACGTTTACTGTGAGGAGAACATCGACGGGACGGCAGAGAACAGAATCGTGCTTCGGTGGTTTAACTCAATCACTGGGAGCTCCCAAGTGACAGAGATCAGAAATTCAGATATTTCTATTCAGAGAAGAAGAAAAATTTCCTTCGAAAGATGGGTCTGGGTTTTATCGTTGGCGTCTTGGGAGTCCTAATTCTCAGTCACGCCGCTTATTCAACCATTCAATGTAATTTTCTCATATTTACGCATATATGCATCTATCTCTCTGTGTCGAGGTTTTTCAATTTTTTTGTTTTTCTTTTCAGATAGAGGATTGTTAAAGATTATGGAGGAGGAATTTTCCGGGCCTCCTACGAATGTAAGTGTTAGATGTTCTCTTCCTACCGGTTTTTATCTAGTATCTCATTTTAATTTTTATTTATCTTCGATGGATTTTCATATTTTCTTGTTTGATTCTGCGCAGGTGGTGCTGGAATTGATTATGGGGTT